CACTTTTTCATATGCGACATCGACGAATCACGGCATCTTAGACTGATAACCACCAATTGGATAAAATTAGAGGAGGTCCTAAGATCTCTTGGTGGCGGCGCGCATCGTTCCGTTTCTCAATATTCGCGTAGTAGCTCTCGAAGTGAACAGTCGGTCATATACGAGTACGAAAATTATACGAATACGAGTCTTATACGAGTACGTTACAAGTCCGGTGGAAACGGTCGATTTAACGGGTTGGTCTAACCGAGGACTCAGGGTGAGTTTAGGCTCATCCCTAGGCGTTGTCCTTACAACATTATTCGATACAATCGGGGACTCAGGGTAACTTCAGGTTAACCCCTAGGCGTTGTCCTCGCAATAATACAGTTAAGGAGAAGTGATTGCAAATGTACAATAAGTGATACAAATAAACTCATTGTGAATAAGCAATTTTGTTCATTGTTTGTGCCTTATATAAAATAAAAACAGTGCGGACATTAAATTGTCCAAGCTGAACGGAACACATGATTTATATAGGTTAGATAAAAATAGGCTAAATATACATCAATTAAATGTAATAATATATATATTTTTTTAGAAAAATATTTTTACGTACCATTTGTTATGCACTTCCAAACTATCTACAACATTATGGGTGCGTTCCGTTATTAACTGTGAGTACTGACAGTACTACCAGTAGCGTTCCGATGTTGCCAATAGTGCACTGCGAAAGTACTGCTAGAAATCCATGACGTCATTGATTTTTACGTATTTCCTGTTGCGGCTACTGCAAGCACCGAGGTGAAGCACTCGCAGTAATCAAGATGGCGTCTTCAGATGGGTGTACAGTTGTCTGATGTAGATATGAATATTGTTTTAACCGATCTAACCTTGATCGACAACAAAGAAAATAAAGAATATAATATAAGAGTAAGTCCCGAAGATGCGGAAAGAGCTCAAAATGGTAAGAATTTTTTTCTTTAATTAAAATTAAATGTACAATAATAGTACAAAATACATTACAATTACATTTATATTATACTACAATTACATTTTTAACATATAAATATTTTAAATTATATTTTATTATTTTATATTTCATAAATATTTTTAAAATTTAAGGTATTTGGACCATTATTTATGTTTATGTTTCTGTTTCAGATTTACAATTTGCAACAACCTTGCTGGAAGAAGCAAAACTGTGTACTAACAACAATAACAAAAAAAGAAAAACTAACAACATAGGTAATGTATAAAATCGTATTAAACATTTTTTTTATAACAAGAGTTTTAACTTTGAAGTTTAAAGTCTAAACAAATTCTTTTATAAACTGATTAATTAATTTATTAAAAAGTTAGTGTTATTTTTAAAATGTTAAAATTAAATATTAGGGTTTAAAATGTTGAACTGTTATTTTTTAATTGATTTTTATTCAATTATATTTTAATAAATGTTTCAATTTTCAGATTGTAGTATTTTGAAAAATAGAAACACGTAATATTATTTCTACAGCATCTACCTTAAAATGAAGATAAGGGTAAAGGTACGTTAAAATAAGTACTTAACTTTGAATCTACTTTAATAAAAATTATTAAATTAACTTTTTGGTATAATTAGAACAGCATAATTAGTCAAGAGAAAAAACACTACTTCTGATTGACATATATACTACTAAAGAACAAGATTTTTATAATGGAAAGAGCACAGTAAAATGTTGCTGGGAAAATGTTTCTAAAGAAATGAGAAAAAAAGGATATAATATTAATGGGACAAAATGTGCTATAAAATTTCAAGCAATGAAGAGGACTTATAAAAATATAAAAGACCACAACAATCGTTCAGGAAATGATAAAAAAAAATGGGAATATTTTGATGTAAGTATTTCTTAATTTAATTATGCATAATTATGATTAACTTTTGTAGTACATAGGAATATTCACTACAAATCTGTAAAAACAAAAATAGTTATCTCATGAAAAATAATTATTCGTATAATTTAAAATCGAATTTGAAAAGAAAAAAAGTAAATGATATCTTTATATTAAATGATTAAATATAATGGTATCTTTATATTACGTAATATATACAATATATATAATTAGTGTGTAAGTATATTACTTATGTGAATATTTTAGCTGATGGATAATATATTTAACAAAAAACCTTGGATAAAACCTTTAGCAGTTGCTGGAACAAGTATCGAAACAAGCGATGAAAGTTCTGAAAGTTCTTGTACTACAGAAGAAAGTCTGAAGAAAAGTAAGTATGAATAACATTTTACAATCTGTTTATTATAAATGCATCTGTTATATTATAAATATAATCTCAAATACATTCAAATCTATAATTTTCTTTTATAGTAAAAAAAAGAAAATTGAATATGGAAACGTATATGGAGAAATGTTTAAAAGAAAAAATTCTTAAACGTGAATCTGCTGACAAGAGACGTATGGAAAAATGGAACAGCTAAAAAAAAATTGAAGAGATATTAAATAAAGCTTTTCTAAAATGAGTTCCTGGTGATCATCAACTCGCAGTGAGCCGCGCGTACTTTTATGCGCAAAAAATTAATATTCTCACTGCCTTACTGTGCCTCATTGCAAAGTGGTTATGAAAACATTGTAAAGATTATTTTTTGTTTTTTTTTTTATCATTAATATAAGAATATCTTTTAAAGTCTTATTGTGATACATTAATTGTGCAATAATTTGTTACAGTTTTTATTTTAGTTTATTATAGAATTTATAAAATTAATACATTAAAAAAATTACATTAAGACTATACATTAAGCATATATATTAAAATTAAAAGACTGATACATATCTAATTTTTATGTATAAAATATAAAGTTAGTTAGTAAAGTTAAATTTAAAGTATTAATAAAGTATAAGAAAAAACATGATTAAACTGTCATTGAATAAAACTTGATACTAAATAAAAACTAATTCATTAAACTTAACTTTTAATTTATTTACATTTTAAATTATAAAAATTTAATTAATAATAATAATTATAATTATTAACTTTTACAGGATATGGGATATTAGTAAAAATGTGAAATTTTTTGTAAAATTGGAAAAGAATTTTAAGACAATCAATACAAATTTCAATATAATTAATATATTTGTGTTGAAATGTCATGATAATATTTATAAAGTTATACAAAATATATATTGATTTCTACAGATATACAAGATATTTAATAAAATATATGAAAGTAATTAAGGATTTATAAACGATTGTGCAATAAGATTGCGTTTTTGAATGCCTTGTTCTTTATTTTAAGGATCAATAGTATCACGATTCGGTTCAAACTGCGTTTCATTTACTATTATTGGTATTTCTATAATGTCATTATGTAACAAACAGATGTTATGCAAAATGCAACAAACTACTACATATTTAGCTACTAAATCTGTCCTGGTCATTGGCAAAGTATCAAAAATACTTCTGAATCTTCCTTTTAAGAGTCCCAGTGACCTTTCTACAATCATACGCGCAGAAAAATGTATTTTATTGTATGTTACTTCTGTTTCTGTCAAATGCCCATTATCTCGGTAAGGAACCATTATATATTTTTGGATTCCATATACAGCATCTTCTAACAGATGACTATCTTCTGGAAAATTTTTTTCTGTGCACATCTTTTGAAAACCCGATAAGCGATAGACTCTCATGTCATGTATGGAACCAACTTGTCCAGCATAACAATGCAAAAATTTTAAACTGCAGTCACATATAACCTAAAAAGAACATGCAAATTAGATTATATATTATAATAGTAAGCTTTTCTGATTTTTTTATTTTATTTAAAAATATAAAATTGTTATGCATGCACACGTGCGTGCGTGCGCGCGTGCGTGCGTGCGTGTGTGGCGCGTGTTTCATCACGTGTGTTTGATCGCAACGTGCGTCCCGTAATCACCCGTGTCGAATGGAGTTGCGCCGCTCCTGCCTATCTTCTGTATTCGTCCCGTGATTTGATAACTTTTTTCTTTTATAACTTGAAAAATAAGCTGCGGACAAAGTTTTTGTAAAGGAAAAATCGTCTCAGAATTAACTCAGGAATACGTCTGTGCAAGGACACCTGGGTTGTTCTGAATCACCCTGTATAGATGTTGGTAATATTTTCTTTAACACTAATGGACCACTGTACAATAAAAAAAAAAATTCTGTGCCTTTGAATCTTTTACACTCTTCTATTGATCTTGTTTTACAAGAAAATTTGCATGAAATATATTTTTTTAATATCGACAACTGTTGCGATATTTTTTGCACATTTCGGGCATACAATTTATGTGGAGGTTTTCCAGAAATCCAGCCGTACCGATTATGGCACAAAAGCCTCTTGCATGCACCTAATAAAAGCGCATGCATGTAGTCTACGGGAACATTGTTAATCATATCAAAATTTGGTAAGTTTAATAAACTGCTTGAACCAGTATGATGTTCAGGTTGTTCTTTATTTCGGAATGAAGTATCAGTTCTCTTAGTGCAATCAGTTTCAATGAAACACATTACATTATTGTACATATCCTCTGTTATTGTGCATTTTGGACACGAATAATACCCGAAATGGCCTTTAGTAGCTAGAACAAGTGATTTTGCTGGTGTGTCACAGATTAACATTAAAACTTTAAAATTACAACAAATTGAGTTAATTATAATTCCATTGCATGATAAGTGAATACATTCATTAATAAAATCGGATAAAAACTCATGTGAATTTGGTTTCTCGTCGCCATGGAAGAGAGCTACAGTAGAACCTCGTTTATCCGAGCTTCGATTAACCGACACTCCGCGTAATCCGAGGCACTAAATTCATCCGAGCACTCCGCATTAACCGAGGCGGTAGCTCGGATAATACAGAAAAACTCGAATAATACGGAGCAAAGCCATGTAGGCGCGCGAAGTATGTATGTATAGTTTGTTGTTGCTATTTTGTTTCAACATGCATAAACTTGTACAAGCTTGTGTGTTATAAACCAAATGCAGCAGTTCCGATCCTAGAGTCGTGATGGCTCAGAAACGGAAAAAAATTGTGGTGAGTGTGGAGCAGAAATTAGAAGCAATAAAAAGATTGGATAGTGGCGAAATTATTCGAAAAATCGCGGCTGATTTAGGAGAGACCACCGTAGGCGATTGGCGTCGGAAGCGAGCCGATTTGGAAAGATTTGCAACTAAATCATGCAATGCGATGACAAATCGTAAAACAATGAAAACTGCAGAATATGATAAAATAGACAGAGCTTTATTCTTATGGTTCACTCAACTGAGAGAAAAGGGACTACCCATATCAGGTATGCTTTGAATCAATGTTTGATAAATTTAATGGAGATTCGCGAATTTCTGTTCCATACAATACTATGCCAATGAACACTTGCAGAAATTACCCTTTTTTCTCTTTCTCCTCTCCAGGCCCAATTTTACAGCAAAAGGCTATAATGTTTGCGAAACAGTTTCCTAACGAAAGTGAGACTTTTACTGCAAGCAGTGGATGGTTGGATAGGTGGAAAAAGAGGCACGATATTCGTCAGTTAAATATTTGTGGCGAAAAATTATCAGCTGATGGAAGTGGAATGAATCAGTTTAGAGAAGAATTCAATAAGCTTGTTACAGAAGAAGGTTACACGAGAGATCAAATTTACAATTGCGATGAGACTGGCGTACATTACAAAATGATGCCTTCCAAAACACTAGCTGTGAGAGAAGAATCAACTGCTCCGGGATACAAAAAAAAATAAGGAAAGAATTACTATTTTAGCGTGTAGTAATGCATCGGGAACACACAAACTTCCATTAATGTGTATTGGAAAATCAGCTAAACCTAGAGCGATCAAACACAAAACCTGATGCTTTACCAGTGTACTACGCTCATCAGAAGAATGCTTGGATGAGTAGCGATCTTTTTCAAAAATGGTTTTTCGACGAATTTGTTCCTTCAGTTGAAAGATTCTTGAAAAAAAATGGACTTCTCAGAAAAGCGATTCTTTTACTCGACAATGCTCCATCTCACCCAAACGAGTCAATTCTGAAAAGTGGAAATATCGTTGTGAAATTTTTTCCACCAAATGTGACTTTCATTGCACAACCAATGGATCAAGGAGTATTAGAAACACTCAAACGTCACTACCGGCGTTTCTTACTTCAAACACTTCTAGAAAATAGCAGTAACAACAAGACATTTAAGGAGTGCTTACTTGCGATCAACATGAAAAATGTGATTTACTGGTCAGCTCAAGCTTGGGATGCTATTCAAAGGTCCACAATACAGAAATCATGGGCAAAAATTCTGAATTCTGACAGCCAAAGCGATGAAGTTCTAGACAATATAGATTTGTATAGCATGATGGAGCAAATCCCTGGTTGTGCAAACGTCGAGAAGAATGATACTGATGAATGGGCTAATGGTGACGATTGTGAACATGAGCTTACTGACGATGAAATTTGCCAACTCGTTAATTCTGAAGAGGAAATTGCAGATGAAACTGGAGATAACGAAATGGAAGAAAGTCAGTACGTCAATCATGAAGAAGGATTAAACGCTCTTGAATTAACTCTTAAATATGTTGAGGAACAATCAGAAGCTACTGCAAGTGACCTCTTATTAATAAAAAGATGGAGAGATATTGCAGCTAAAAAACGCATGAGCAAATTAAACAGTCTCGTATTACTGACTTTATTAAGCCAGTGACGCATAAAAATAATGTGCATTCGTTATAATTCTTATATCTTTATACATATGTATGTATGTATATCTGATCATATTGCATTTTTTCAAATTCATACATACATAAAAATAAAAAACCTTTTAATTATATCTGTGTTCCGAGTATTATCCGAGATTTCGATTATCCGATGTACGCTCTCCCCACATTACCTTGGATAAACGAGGTTCTACTGTACTAAAAACACTTTTCCTTTCAGAGCTGGTACAAACTTTAATGAGCATAATATTGGCCAAAAAGTACTGTTCGTACTTTTGGATATAGGAAGTCCATCAATATTTACAGCTAGATCTATATCTTGGTTGGCATGAATTTTTATCCTATGTTTAATTAGAAGTGCATTTAATGAACTTTCAATTCCGAAGTAATAGAATAAACCCGAGCTTATCTCTTTTACGAATAATGCACGAAGTGTTTTTAAAAGTGTTCTAGGATCTTTTGGTAAAACATTCTTTAATGAAGGCAACATACGCAAAATTCCAAGTAATTTTCCCGTAGACGACAAACTGATACTTTCACTAATTGCCCACTGTGCTAAGGCAGATTTAAAAGTCTCTCTGAACGTTTTATAATCACTTAAAAAAATATTTGTTGTGCACGGTTGAAAACTAATATTCGTATGTTTCTCAAATGTTGAAGATTCTGTTTCTTTTCCCGCAAAGTCAAAATTTATGAGATTATTTGAAGGTAATGAATCACGTAATAATGTATCGCTAGCATTAATCGACGGACTATTTTGCTTAGTCGAATTGCATGCGTTACTTAAATTATTGTTATTCATAGATAGTGTATCAGCGTTTACCATAAATGAGAAGCATTATTAATTATCGCTAATGATCGTTTAAATCGTTCATTAGCCTTTCTTAAACGTTTTTTATGCTTTTGTTTTTCAGTGTGTTCCATTATATTTATTATTTACAATAAATACTATTTCTTACAGATAAATTCAATTAATAATCTTCAACTGAAAAAGGAGAAATATAAACATTTGTTAGAACTTTTTTAATACATACCGCTGCAACATTTGTTCCTTTCTTAATTTGAATCAGTGAAATTTTCAAATTAATTAATGAAAATCTTGCTCTTCTTGTATTAAAAATAAATTGTGCATGCTTTTAATCATTATGCTCTGATAAATTTTCACATAAACTGCCTGCTACCCAGCAAATACAAAGTATAAGAGTAACATAACCTTACAAGTGTTTTAATGTCCTACTCATTAATGTAACTGTTATATACGTAATAGAGCATATTACATCGCAATTATATTGTTGAGTGGGATATTATAACATTAATATTATATTATTATTAATATTTGCTGAGTATGCTACGATTAAAAGTGCATTTTTCTAACTTTCTTCACTTTTACTGCGATATGTACTAAAATTCAAAATAAGTATTTTATCAAAAAACAAAAGATTAAAATTTAGAGAGAAATATAAAAAAAAATATCAAAAAGGCGAATGGGCATAATAGAAGTTCAATTTACTTACTTTATTCAAATAGAAAACTTTTTTTCGACTTGTCTACTTTCACTTCCACTTTGTCGATGCTTTTGGATGCTTCGTTCTCGATTCCAGATTACTTTAGGTTAAATAGGCAGCAGGCAGCGGCAACGACGAGACAGGCATAAACAAATTTTGTCGCTAGAACCAGTGATGCAAGGTCGAACAACATGCGCAACATGAGGGAAATAGCCCCCACCATAGCGACGCTCAACAAACGAGAGTCGCTGTCGTCTGCCGTCGCCGCGTCCGCGTACGTCCCCGTTACGCTCGCCGTTTCAATAGCAGATGACTTTTCTAATCGAATCGCTAGAATATTAAGGCCCTTATACAATGCCAGGCAACAGGCAATAGGAATAGGAAATAACATAGAAGAAAAAGAGAGAAAAGCTATTTCTTCCTTTTTTCTTTCCTACATTATTCCCTATTCCTATTGTCTGTTGCCTGGCATTCTGCAAGGGGCTTTAGTGATCTCGGCCTAGTGTTCAAGGCCTACTTCTCGCAACTTTTTTTCCCGCATTTGTTTTGAATTTACAAATTTTACAATAAAGTAAATTATTAAAAAATGTTTTTTTGGCAAAAAAAAATTTTATATTCATAAAAAGTATTATGTTAAATTAATAACTATATATATATAGATTAATGCCATTGTCAATAAAAAAATAAATTTTTTACAATAATTTAGTAACAAAATGCAAGTTTAATATATGCCAATACGTGATAGTATGTACATACGATATATATACAACGTTCGCCGGTAAATATATTTAACAGATCCATATACATATGTTCAGCGGATGTACATGAAAAGTACATTTATGAATATTTCAAAATGTACGTGGCAGTATATACATACAATATACATACAATGTTTCCCGGTAAATATATTTGGCAGATCCATGTATGTATGTTCAGTGGATGTAGATAAAAAATATTTTTCTGAATATCCATTAATGTATATAAATTAATATACGCATAACATTCATATATGAATATACGTGTATGTCCTTCATTTGTATATTATATCATATCTATGGACATATTATGGATGTCTACAGTATGTCCATTTTATGGATATATTTTTATGTTTGTTCATGGACATGTATATTATATCCCGTATATTCTATGCACATTCTGGATCAATAATGGATATCCTCAGAATATCCTGTGCTATCTGGGGAATTACGCCCCTCTGCCATATACTGAGCGGGGATCGGACATATTATAAGAATTATCTAAGTTACCGCTACCGCGCACAGTGGGGCCAAACGACATTTCGTGTTTCAAAAAAGGCTACAGTCTCGAAATGTTAACCGATTTCGATGCTTTTTTTTTAAATGAAAGCTAACAAAATTTGCAATAACTTTGTGGAGGTAGATTTTTATTTTTTGTTTTTTTTTATTATTAAATTACACATAAAACAATTAAATTTGTAAAATATAATGACTGAACAGCAAGTAACTCTTCAACAGTAAATATTTTCTGTAACTTAACATCGGGCACTGATATAGTTGAAATTAAACATTCAAATCCTGATTTAGGAACCATAAAGTTTGACCTAACTTCACAAAATGTTACCTTAACAAATAAAATTGATATGATAAAAATAATATAAAATTTTAATAAATTAGTAAATTAGTGAATTAATTAAAAGTAACACTAAATTATTATTATAAATTCGTACTTATTGAAGCATTTTCCAATTCCAATAGATGCGGAAGCTCAAAACTTGTTGCTTGACGAACAATAGTTATTTAATAAGTACGAATTTATAATAATAATTTAGTGTTACTTTTAATTAATTCACTAATTTACTAATTTATTAAAATTTTATATTATTTTTATCATATCAATTTTATTTGTTAAGGTAACATTTTGTGAAGTTAGGTCTAACTTTATGGTTCCTAAATCAGGATTTGAATGTTTAATTTCAACTATATCAGTGCCCGATGTTAAGTTACAGAAAATATTTACTGTTGAAGAGTTACTTGCTGTTCAGTCATTATATTTTACAAATTTAATTGTTTTATGTGTAATTTAATAATAAAAAAAAACAAAAAACAAAAATCTACCTCCACAAAGTTATTGCAAATTTTGTTAGCTTTCATTTAAAAAAAAAGCATCGAAATCGGTTAACATTTCGAGACTGTAGCCTTTTTTGAAACACGAAATGTCGTTTGGCCCCACTGTGCGGCGGCGGGATGCCCCCGCAGGAATCGCTTCGCTCGTGCGAGACTGTACGAAACGATGCCGCGAGCCAGGCGCTGTCTACGGACGATATTTACTCGTATTCGGGGCGGCTCGTCACTTAGGAACACATTCCTTCCATCAAAGAGACGCGCGTCTGCTCGATGCATTATGTTAACACAGAGATGTGGCGGTACGCAGGTATCTCGATGCGGTGTCGCGTTTACATAGGCGCGCGCGCGGCAATCGGCACGGACCGACCGACGCTTTCGTCTCGCCCG